GTAAGTAAACTTTGAGGCTATTCTACACAGAATTAAACTATGCAGTAAGAAGAAGACAAAGAATAAAGTCTAGGGAAAAAACAGCGCTGTTTAGTACAATTTAGTTTTTTTCTTTTTTCATCTGTCATCTGACGATGTCTAAAGGCTAGCATGTTCCAAACAGCCACACTTAAAGTTGGGGCAAAAGGCAAAGAGAGCAGTAAGACGCTGTCACACAAATGGGGATGATGGTACTTATTTTTGAAAACCCTCAGCTCAAAAACTATGCTGCACTCAGCTGTACGCTTGAAAATCGGCTGAACCAGTTGTGCGAAGCATGAATAAAATAACTTGCGAGAAAAGCACAGATCTTTTCGACTTTCTTAATTCAACACAGACCTGGCCAGACACTGAATACAGCCACTAACTGCATATAGAAGATGGACAAATCCACCGTGACATCACTCACTGGTTTTCTGAAGAGCAGTGTTAAAGCTCAAGTCTTGCTATTGTCATCTTGTTAATGTTTCACTCCACTTCCTATGGCTAATCCAAAAATGGGCAAAAAGGTGGAGCGTGAGTGGTATTTTCTAGACAGCTAGCAGCTAGCCACCAATGGCGGGACCCTCCCGCCTTCCACTCAAAGTGGCCACACCCTTAATTGTGCACAACTTTTAGCCTCAATCTAATTTAAATGGTCGAGTTATATATAAATCCACCCCCTGTATAGTTGTAATGGAAAGGGAAATTATCTATAGAGACCAAAAGCATTTCATGTACCAATTTATTTCTGCTGTAAAGTTGGGCATTTTAACATGAGAGTCTATGGGGATTGGCTCCCTTTTGGAGCCAGCCTCAAGTGGGATTTGAGGAACTGTAGGTTTTAATACTTCTGCACTGGCTTCATTTCTCAGCCTTAGAGGTTGCTGCTTGTTTACATCCCAAGTCTCTTATATGATCAAGCTGGCTCCTCAATCCTGGCTCAACCCGGAAGATGTTCAAGTTGAGCAAGGACTGAGAACATCTCAAGACTCTTATATCTGCTCTGAGACCTGAGGATCAAGGAGGGTGTCTGGAAAAGCCGTGAGCGAGGAAACAACAGACCATCCAGTGTCCTACAGATCAAAACGTACCTTTATTGGAAATCAGTTGGACATTGGAGTCTTCAGGTGAAGGATAAGGGGAAAAGACCTCTTGTGTCTCTTAAAACGTTTCCTTTATTCCTCTCTTCTCAGATTTTATGTGGGTGAGAGTAAGACACAAGGAATAGACAAGGTGAGGGAAATATGGCCCCTTATCCAAGACTTGGAATGTACACCTTGTGTGAAGGGAGCGTGCCGTTCAGATTGTTTTCTCCCTCCAAGTGACTCAGATCTGAGCTTTCCACAAAGTAGGAACAAACCAAACTGGATCAGGGCCATTTCCGCAAGTTGTGCTAGAGCTGATTCATATCAGATCTCTGACTATGCAATCACAGTCAGAGGTGTCAGGTCAGAATTCCTGTGGTATTTTTTAATATCTCACTCCTCTACACACACACATATTGCCTGCTGTCATCATGCAGTGTTGGCACCACACATCAGTGGAAGCAAACAAACAACAGCAATAGGATCTTAGTGGAGTGACAGGAGTGCTTCAGATTTGTTGGACCTTTATAGAGAAATAGATCACACCAAACTGGAAGGAACATATCATAGGCAAGCCGTATTTGAGGAAATTGTGCAATTTGACTGTTGCACGCATAACGTTGTTATTCTTGTATGCAAAGGGCTCACATTTTGATTAAATCTGCATTTGCATGTCAGTTTAGGACCTCAGTAATGTGTTCATGCGGGAGCTGGACACATGTCACTTACATGACTTGCATGACATGAATGGGAACCATCAACACAAAATGTCGGATTTAACGTAAACATCAGAATATAGCATTAAAGCCTGTAATGCGAACACAGCCGCTGTCATCCGATGGATCATGTAACAAACGTTGCCAGGCAGTTTGCATTCCATAAATGATCAAAATTCAGAGTGATACATAAAACTATTGATAGGAAAACAGCAAAGTGTGGCTACACATTGCTAGAATAAACCATCAAAAAGAGATCCATCATTTGTCAAATATACTTTCCTGTGTGGCTTGCCTATTTGCTACCTGTTACATTCCACAAGGTAACCTGATCTCACATACAACCACTCCAGCACAATGCACAGATGTCTGTTTACTTTCTGCAACAAGTTGGTCGTTGGTGTTTTAGCTGTAATGAAACTGTGATGTTACTGTGAAAAAGCACAGAGATAAGATCTTAGCCCCATCTGGGACAGAGCTGCCGAACCAACATTAATAATTCATATCTTGACCATTATGAGATATAAAATAAGAGACTGGGAATTCCTGATCTGGTAGCAGCAGAGGGAGGAGATAAGAGTCTGGCTGATAGATGGGCATCCAAAGCTTTTTTATCTGGGCAGCCTGCTTCCCTGAAAGTTGATGAAATGAGAATGAAAGCAAATACTGGAGTCAAACAAAAACATAATAGTGACGACCAAGCAGCTTCACCAGCAGTTGTGTCTAAAGTGACTTGCTCAGGGAAATCTCAGCAATTGGTGAGAGACAGGAAAATATCTGAGTCACTTCACCAGCTGTGATTTTAATCAGTCATCTTGCAAAGCCTTGCTTCTCTGGCTGTTCGACCACTGCTGCTGCTTTCTGTTATACTCCCACCTTCCCTTTACCAGAGCTAAATCTGATTATGTAATGACTGTGAAGGTGAGTGACAGTGGTGCATTTGCCAGACAATCTCAACAGGGAAATAATCAGTTTCCTCTAGGTACTATGGACTGTTGTTAGCTGGTCTGTGAGGCACATGTGGATAACACATTGTACTAGTTCTTCCCTGTACCTCTTAGTTTAACATAGCAGCATGTTAATGTTTGCTAAATAGCACTCAGTACAAAGTACAGCTGGAGCTGAAGGAAATACCAGCAGTTTTGAATGTACTTGGCCATAAAACAAAATCAGATGATCTCTTAAATCATCCAGATACATCCACTGGGTACCATGAATATCTGTACCAATTTTCATGGCAATTCATTCAATATTTGTTGAGATATTTTGGTGTGGACCAAAGTGACTGACACCGTCATCCCTAGAGTAGCACGGCTAAAAATCAGCAGATACTGTAAAACTATACTTTAGACCACGTTTTTGACAGGTTTATTTAATAGCTTTTATAGACTATTTGCTGGATTGTCCTTTCAGTCGCTAATACAAATGCCACCTAAAAATTTCAGATGCGTTGAAGCTGCTTTAGTCAACACACACATTCAGTACATCACCAAACCCAATGAGAAACACTTCTCTGCTTATGTCTCAACAAGGTAACATCCTCCAATCAAAAAATAAGGATGGGTTCCGATGGGCAGTCCTATTTTGGATCCCATTCCAAGTTGGTGAAATATCCGGGCTCGTTAAGCTTCATGGCCAAACAATCCCTTACCGGACCTGCTTCATTCACATTCTCTGTTTAGTTTACACTCTTTGGCCTCACTGATAATACAGATGTGGCCAGAGGAAAAAAAAAACATGCACAAACTGAGACAGTTTGACTGAGACAAAACTGTTGTATTATACATTATGCTCTGTATTATGTATTACATATTAGTAAAGTTTGAAGAAAAAACATAAACATGGTTAACTGCTCTGAAACTTAAAAAAACTGCTGCAAAAAATTATATGTGCAGGATGGTACTCATGGGAAAAGGGTTAAAGACACATTGCTTGTTTAAATATTCCTTTAGTGTTGAAAATGTTAAAGTTAGAACTTAGAAACTTAAGAGTTTCATTTCATAATGAGAAGGATGAGTGCTGCCCTCAGCCTACTGCTGATAGTGTGACCTATCAGATTCTGTAGCAGTGCAACAAGTTCACTTTCATGCAACACTAAGCTCATACCGCAGCAAAATATCAATGCTTTATTTAACTGATAGTCACAGAATGACAAAGTGGATTTAAGATCACTGTGTTCTTTACTTCCTTAGCTTCTGCTACTGCAGCACAGCCCCAGTGAGGAGCAAACACAGCTCAAGGAAACAGGGTTACTGGATGTTACTGGATTAGGTGTATTTTAGTTCCTTGAAAAGTGCTATGCAAATAAATATATTATTCTAATAATTATTAATCAGATTCGATAAGTGGATTCGGAATTGGATTCAGATTCGATAAAATGCTATCGAACCCCATCCCTAATCAAAATGAAATCCCTCCTCAAGTGTCCACTGCTCAGACAAAGCTATGTAATTCTGAGAGAGCGCTGCTGGCTGCAAAAGCTGCTCCGCTTACAGCCAGTCCTCAAAGGAGCCATAACCAGGGCCAAGAAACAGGCATTCTGGGTGGGCTCAGCTCCAAGCACTGGGCGTACAGCCTGTACTGGAGCCTCAGTGGCAACTCACTGGTATAATGCCATTTGAGTGAAGAGAAAGGAAGGGGAGGATAGATGGGGTTTAAAGAGGAAAAGGAAAAAGGTGAATGGGGTGAAATGATGAAAGAGAATAACACAACCCCAGGTGAAAATAGTGACCTGGCCATAGTTGTGTGGCTCATGTAAAGCAAAACACACCAGTAATTACTGAGCAAGCTGTATGGAGGTTGCTGACAGTGTAGAACATGATGACACTAGCCCACAGCAACAGCAAACACACAATCCCTGATTAACGGCTAGCCTTGGAGGGGCACACACCCCATTACCACCACAAGCAGTGCTTTATGCTTTATGGCTCAGACTAAGTCCAGAGTCCCGGCTGGTTTTATTAGGCCTCATTCTAATGCTAAATCAGTGTTTTCAGGTAGTTGTGTCTTGCCAGGCCCTTGATGTCATATCTGGGCCGAGTTCACTGAGACTTGTGTTCTGAAGCACCACTTGGCTCATATTCCCACCTTTTTGTGCACAGCAGCTTACATGCATTAGTGCAACTGCAGAGGCATGCATTCGTTCCATCTTACACCGCGGGGCTTGGGCATTGCTTACCTGGATTGCCGCAGTCAGCACACGTTTCGTTACCAGGTCTCGCCAGCACGTCTTGCAGGAGCCGGTTGTTCCCCTCCGTTTCCAGCGCCATGGTGAGTTTATCTGTCCAGCCTCACCGCGGTGGGAAGCAGCTGGCACAAGAACATCCGCTAAACGGAGTGCGCTGCACAGACAGACTGCCCAGTCACCTGTCACCTCCAATCTGAACGGGAGAAGACGAAAGATGGGCGAGGGAAGGACTGGATGAGACTGACCGATCTCTCTCTCTCTCTCTCTCTCTCTCTCTCTCTCTCTCTCTCTCTCTCTCAGTGAGAGCTATTACCTCGTCTCGCTCACTAGCCAGCGCCATGGTGAGTTTATCTGTCCAGCCTCACCGCGGTGGGAAGCAGCTGGCACAAGAACATCCGCTAAACGGAGTGCGCTGCACAGACAGACTGCCCAGTCACCTGTCACCTCCAATCTGAACGGGAGAAGACGAAAGATGGGCGAGGGAAGGACTGGATGAGACTGACCGATCTCTCTCTCTCTCTCTCTCTCTCTCTCTCTCTCACTGAGAGCTATTACCTAGTCTCGCTGACTGCATAATTAAGCCTCTATGTTATCATAACCTCCTCCTTCCCTGCTTGCCTGTCTGTCGTCTCTCCCATCCCTGCAGTTTTATATGTTAACAAAGTGAGACATCCAGCGGTGGATAAACCAAACACACTGAACTGAAAAATCAGAACTGCCCCGTCCCCGTCTCCGTCTCTGTCTCTGTCTCTGTCTCTTTAATTTTATAGCTTAGAATGTGTAACTAGAATTTATAGCCTAGTCTTTATAGGTGTAGCTATTTGGTGGTTATGAAATTGTGTCCAGGTTAGTTATATATTTATCATGTCATGAAAATAACTTTTATAACGTCAATGTGTTTGTTTTATTTATGGAAATGTTAGGATATAATCGAAATTTCGATCGTTCATCGATTAAACCCACTCTACTACTAATGTCTGCCTGCCTGCCCCAAAACAAACGTCATATTCACGCGACAGCAGTTACGTTCTTTACTGTGAATGGTAAAGTCACTTGATCAAACCTTAACTCTTAACTCGTAGGTATGTCTACTTCTATGAATTTTAGCACGAAGAGTTTTAGACCTCGGCCTCCGGATAAAGGAGCGTTTCCTCTGGATCATTTAGGTAAGAGAAAACACAGACTTCGTCGCGTTTGAATCACCGTGAAATAACTCACTTAACGTTACAGAACATGGTCTTATACCAGAACTCCTGTATGTTTCCCCAAACTGATATCGGGGTTTTATTTTTTATGTGTGGATGCAGACAGAGACTGACATTGCAGTGTGCAGCTTGCTAGATAAAAACAGCCTATGTCAAACGTCTCTCTCTCTTTCATTTATAATAAATTTGCTGAAAATGTTAATATACAACACAATAAAGTGTGCAAAGCATCAAGGAGACCGAATACTTTCAGAAGCCACTGTAAAACAGCACATCCCATTTACCAAGCATTCTAGCAAATAACTAAACAGGTTTTTGTTATGATGCAGTCATGGAGAAAAGCAGCTGAGCAGCTTGAGGACAGACTGAAATCACTTATAAATCTGGGGGGAGAACACTTTTAAAGACCCTCCTCTGTCCTTTAGCAAAAAAAAAAACAAAAAATACATATATATAACCTTTGGCCTGTTTTGACCCTCGATCTTACCCACCCTCTTAGTATTACCTGCAGTAGCACTCTCCAAAATACCTACACCACTGTAAACACTTGTGTAGCGGCAGGATGGCTGATAATGATGGGACGCAACTTAACAATTAGTGTAAAACAGTAAAGCGTGAAGGCTATCTCCCAAAGGATGCACAGCATTGTTCTTGTTAAATTTATTCCTTATAATATTAAAAAAGTACAATGTTTGAAGCCCAGATTGGCTCTTTGTCATGTGCATTGTGTGGTTATAGCCAACTAGATAAGTGCTCACATTCAAGCCAAAGTCAAGATAATTCCAAAAGTATGTCACAATTTAGTACTCTATTCAAAGGTAGTCATCAAATAACATCACAGCAGTAAACAAATACAACATAGATATTTCCAACACATGTCAAGGAAAGTCTGCCAAAACATTGTCTGCAACATGACAAGTCTTAACAAAGCAGCACCAGTCAAAAGTCTGGCCAAACTTTCCCATTAAGTTCAGTGGGAAACATTTGACTGGTACTGTACTTGTAAATATAGGCTGATTGTAGCTACTTGTTGTTTCAGGAGAGTGTAAAGCCTTCAAGGAGGTGTTTATGAAATGCCTGAGAGACAACAGCTTTGATAACTCCAAGTGCCGCCTGCAGTCCAAGGACTACCTGGAATGCCGGATGGACCAGTAAGAAACTGAATTAAGAATACACCATCCACTCTTCCAGTCTGTGGTCCCTGGGAGAGCAGTCACTGAGTAAAGCATAATACTTTTACACAAGAACTGTCCACGTAGCATCGTGTCCATGTATCTAACCTGGTATTCTTTGGTCATTTACATTTAAAAGTTTATATTTTTAATACCAACTGTGTGTTTTCCAGTCAGCTGATGGCCAGAGAACCTCTGGACAAACTGGGATTCAAAGAACTGATGGACCGTCCTCCCAGCCAAGCAGAGAAAGAGTCTAAACCCTGACTTGCCACAGCACAGCTGCTGTTTCAAACACACATAGATGATGTTTCTCTGGATGCCACATATTCAACATGGGTCCTAAACAAGGATATTGCCATTGAGTGTGAAGTGGAGGAGAATGGCTGCAAAGAGCACGAGTGAATGCAGGCCTGCAAGTGGACTATGTGACTAGCACTGTGGCCTTAGTTCCAGTGTACAAACTAATTTTATCAACCACTTGTGTACATAGGATAAAAATGTGTGATATCTTAGGATGCTATTTGGGCATGTCAGTAAATGTTGTATATTTAAACTAAACTGTGTGTAAATCGACTCGCTGTTCAGGTATTACAGTGCGGACATTGTGTAGAAAACAGTTCATTGATTTGAAGCATTTATTACAGTCAGTGTGGCCACATCTGGCTAATTCTTGGTGTTGAATTAAAAACAGACTTGACATGAACATTCAGTTTTCATAACCATCAGGACTTCCTTGATACAAGTGTGATGTAATGAGGCTTTCTAATCTACTTTGGCCATAACTTCATCACGACTTGAACATTTGAGGTAAAAATGAATATAGAAAATGCATGTATGTAATGGACTACAGCAGGTTTAGTGAACACAGTCCTTAGATGTGCAGGTTGACATTCAAGGGCATTCTACCTGGGATGTGGGTGGGCAGCAAAAACCTAGCTATGTTCCCTGCACCTCTTGAGATTCCCATTAACTGTATATACTTTAGCATTTTGTTTTGAATTCAGTCCAAACCTCAACACAGTACCATTTGTTACATCATATTCAGATTGGTAACCTACGTACTGTATCTGTAGTTAATCAAAGACTAGAGTGGCAAAGCTCTGACTTCCCAGATGAAAAAGTTGGTATGAAGGAAACACGGGTCATTACTCATTTTAGAGAAAGAGCAACACAGTGTCTTTGTGGCTGGTCCGTCCCTGTTATTAACATAAAAGAGGTTTAAGTAGATGTGCTGAATGTGTTTAATCACTGACAGACAAATGTGCCTAACATGGCTGTTCAAATCTATTGTCAAGTGCGAAGTGCACACTCAACCAGCTGTACAGAGGGACACATGCACAGAGGTCTGTCCTCACAACTTTCACTCCCAAAATGATAAAACATCTAGATCAGAAGACCTCTGTACTGAGAGTGGTAATTACAGCTTTGTTTAAGCAGTCGCATACAGCTAACTAGTGTTTTATCTAACATTTGTGTAGCTGCCTTTGTTATCATGATTTACTCTCAGCTGTGATGCTGGAGTCACAAACTCTGTTAATTCTGTCATTTGATGAGGTGGCAGAATAACTGTATGACCTAAGCACTGTTTTATTGTTTTACATCTAACTTGTGACAGCTCTCAGGAATCACTGTTAATACTGGAAATTTACTGGCACAGCGACTAAAACCAATCACGTATTCCCAGTAGGGAACATGACTTCAATATATGTAGTAGGTGATTGGATCTTAAAAAAAAAAAATTAAATGTCAATTAGGTTTTGTCCTCATTTTCAATTTGTGCATTTAAAAAGCCTCTGTGAAAACACTATAAATACATTTTTTTAAAGTATGCTGAATTGTATGCTTGGTTGTAAAAAAAAATTTAAATGTCAATTATGTTTTGTCCTCATTTTCAGTTTGTGCATTTAAAAAGCCTCTGAAAACACTATAAATACATTTTTTAAAAGTATGCTGAATTGTATGCTTGGTTGAGCTGTAAGCTTCCTCTCCAATGAAAAGTAGCAGTAGACCTAAAAAAAGTGCGCAGAGCAGTCGGGAGACTGTAATGCTCCTCAAACCTGATGCATGAAACAAACAGAAATGTCATATATTGCTTCTGCTCCTCTGCTCCTCTGAGATTTGACTGGAGTTCTTTGAACACCATCTCATTGCAGCCCTACAGTGGTTTAATGACAACCACAAAGAGAATTACCAAACGCCAACTGTTTAACACAATGCACAGAATGTTTCCATAAGTGGAGGACGGTTATGTGCATTCACATGCTTTTTTTTTTTTTTTGTAAAATGTTTAAAATTTGCTCTAAATTTATATAGAACCTTGTAGGCTACTGCCTACAGGGTTCATTACATGGCTTCTGGAGTAATATATAATGAACTGGTGTTGTAGCAAAATGTATATGTCAGAAAATACACAACAAGAAATCAGAGTACAGAAATGCCACACTAGATTTTAATTTTAAAAGAGTTTGTCCACCAGAGAGCACAGCAGACATGTTTGTTTTTACAGTGTAAAATGTTCAACTTAGTTTGCATCTAAGTCACAATTTTTTAAAAACATCTAGGTCATGTTAGTATAGTATATGGGCTAAAACAATTTACCAGGGGATAGAGCAATAATTTTGGTGCTCATATTCTTATTTAACTGCTGACAGTACAAACGCCTGCCTTCTTTCGTGCTTGGTCATACTGATCAAAAACGACGCAGCAGAGGAGCAGATCCAAAAAGTTCGAACACACACTAGCGGGAGGAGTTGGAACTGGAGCGTGACCGGTGACGACGGCGACCAGGGGATCGAGACCTGCGTGGGACTGGAGGCCGTCGTCCGGAGAGAGAAAGGAGGGAAAAAAGAAAGCAAGACAGTAAGAAAAGAATTCAGAAATATAGTGACAACAAAATCAGACCGTATTATAAATGTAGTTAGAAACAAACACATTGTTCTCCAAAACTAAAATTACTGCAACATTTCCAGCAGCAGTACTCATCCCCATGATACTTGCCTTCTCCTCATTCGAGGTGGAGTGCGTCGCCACATGGGGGGTGGAGGAGGCATCCTGCGGGGAGGGGACAGCCTGCGAGGCGGAGGGCGCACAGTAGGCGTCAGCAATGCTGTGACTGTGATCTCCTGACCATCAATCTGACCTGAAAGAAAATCCAGGAAAAGCATCAATAAAAATCATTGCGCTGATTTTGAGATGATGGTATACAACAAGCACCACTCGTCTCATCTACACTCTGCACCCTGATGCATGGTGCAGGACATGGCTCTGTACATTCTGTTTACTGTCAGTCTTCCATGTTCCAGTTCCTCCACGTCTTCCTACCTCCATCCATGTGTTTCAGGGCCTTCTCAGCCTCCTCAGGCGTCTCGTACTCCACGTAGGCATAGCCCTTGGACAGGTGAGGGTAGAGGCGGTTCATGGGCATTTCAATCATCTTGATCTTTCCATAAGTGGAGAAGATCTCCTGGATGTGTTCCTTCAAATGCACACAAAAGAACACTTAGCAGGTGTTCACACTGCAGCTCCTTTTAGACTTTGTGTCACTGCACGTATGGGAACGTGCATCCATCGTTTGGACACAGTTGTATAGCTGTTGCATTTATACTTGTACTCAAGTTAATGTTCTAACTAGGAGGTGTTCACACATCACAGTACAGGAAGAAGAAGTAGAAAAAAAACAACAACCAGGAAACTGAAATGGTAGAGATTTTAAACCAGGCTCAAAGCCAATATAATTTTCTTCTTAGGACTAGTATTATTCCACTTTATTAAGTGTTGATATTTTTTCAGGTGACAAAGGAAACAGGTTGTGAATAGGCGCTCAGTCTAGCCAAGTAATGCCAATTTACTCAGACATTTTCGGACACGCCAGGACCTGCCAGCAGACCAATAGCAGGCAGCTATGTCTCAGTCAGAGCACACCTGGATCAGCCAATCGGCATGCAGGATGCACAGCTTCACAAAACGTGTAGTTCAGATATGAGAGGTGTGTGTTCCAGACCATCTGCAACCTACATTTACCCATAAACAGCTTCACTGCAGAGGCACGCACAAGTCTAAATTAAACATGAGTTTCAATGGTGTGAAAAAATGCAGCCCCATTCATTCATTTCTATGCTTTGGATTCACAGCAGGCAGCAACAGCACTGAAGGTGGCATTACTTCTCAACTCAAGTGACAATGCTGGGGTATTCATCAGTCTTTGTTGTCATTGTTAATGAATGTCAACAGCTGTGTTTGATGTCACTGCACTTTGAGTGGAGCCAGTAATCATTAGACAATACACGCAAAGTGCCTACATTTCTCTCCTCTGACACTATACCACTTATCACTTTCTGTTGGGACCTTTCACACAGTGACTTAAATCCTTAACTCCTGTGAATCTTAAACTGAACCTGAATCCACTGCTGTATTAACACATGACGCACAACAATTCTGCCTGCGTCAGAATCATGTAAATGTGAAAAGCCAACAAAACCTCAAGAGTACTTGGTTCAACCGCTATTGTTTTGAAAGCAACACAGGTGTGTTTTGTATTTTTAAGTGTGCATTGGATGTTACTTCGGATGTCACACTAAACTTCAACATTACATTTCTGTCTAAGTACCCAAGCAGAGAGAGCAAGTTTTAGCAACATGGGGCAGCTTTTTCTAGTTGTTTTCTTCTTTTGCAATACTAAGCGCCTCACATTTATCTGCTCTACGAGCCTTGCGTTTTTTGCAGGAGTGCCCCAAAAGCATTAAGTTGAAAAAACTTCCACTCACAGCATAAAAACACCCCAAAACATTGCTGTTTTTCCATAGTCTAATCAGATGATTTGAGAGCCAAGCATTCTACGCTGGTGACCTAAAATAGGCCCCTACAGACAAACGCCCAACAGGACAGATGGACTGTGTAGCTAGTGGTCATTTTGACAACTGACTGCAGATCGTCACACTGTCCCTGACTCATCTTAAAATAGCTTTGAAGTGACCATCATCCATGTAACCTCCTCTTTCTGAGGGTGTCCTGTACCCACATGGATCTCCGTTTCTCTCTGCCCATTTGAGAACAGCCTCTCACCCTCAGTCAGAACAAGAGCAACTTCCCTCCGCCTGTCCATGTTTTATGCTTAGATAATAAGTAAGATACAACAATAATATACATTTAGGTAAACGATGGATGTTCAAACAAGCTAGATGTTTAAACACAGGTTAGGCTAAGGAAGGTGATTTCATGGTTGCCTAGTAACAGTAAAAAAAATACAGAGCAAGTCGCTCTTTTTTTTAATGACATTAAAAAGGCAGTGCAATGTGCCTGTTTGATAGGGGGCTGAGGCAGGCGAGAGGAAACACTTATAAGTCAGCTATAAAAGACAGACAGTCAGTTTATAGTGATGTCCCCTGAGGTCAGTAGCATGGCTAAGCACCTTAATAACGTTTCTGGTCAGCCGGCCCAGGTAAAGCTTGGTGGGTTTGGGTGTGGGGCTCCTCCGTCGTCGGTCCCTGTCATCCTTCTTTGCTGACTTTGACCTACAGTGACATTTGCATTTTAACTACATTTTAGACAAGGTGCTTTCAGCCATCACACAATAAGCTTCAATTACTTTAGACTAACATTACTAGTTTAGTGTGAGAAATTCAGACATTTCACAATTATACACAGAAAACACTTTCTTAATTATTCTATTTTGGAGTGACCAGTTGCATACTTAGATCGTGAGCGTCGTCTGTTGTTGTGGCGCTGACGGTTGGGGCTAGGTGAGGAGGAAGAGGAAGAAGAGGAAGAAGAGCGGGAGCTGGACGAACCCGAGCGGCTGGGGGCAGAGGGGCTGGGGCCACCGGACGAGCCCGAGCCTGCTGGAGCTCGAGCTGGACCTAAACAACAGCAGGTTTTAGAATGGACAGAAGCAGCTGAACCAGCTTGTAGTGTGACCACGAGTCCTTCACTATCCAAAGGATAAATACTACTGTGATCCTGTGTCAAAGGCAGAATATAAAACAACACAAACCACCTTGATATTCAGACCACTGTGAAAATTAGAGCACCATTTGTCTAATATTTTGTTCTCACCTAATAAAAAATACATAGGGTAAAAATGACAAAAGGAACTTTCAATTTTTTATTTTGTTAAATTATCTTCTGACCTGCTGCTTCCAGTGGAGGCACTGCGCCGTGTGCGGTTCTTCTCTCGGCCCCGGTCTTTGTCGGGCCCTTCTTTCGTGGCTCCTGACTTCTCCTTACCACGCTGTTTACTCTTGTCATCGTCCTTTCTCTTTGTTGGGGAAGGCGCCCTGTTGGAGGCGGAGAAAACAAACAAGAGTCAAACTGTACAGCACTGGATGTCACTTAGAATATATGAAATCTGACTTCCAGCAGGTTAACTTGAAAGAATGCAAAGACATATTGTATACGCTTTAGAAACATTGACCAATAAATAAGATGTCAGATTGTGTACATTTGGCAGACAACATTATGGATGCACAAAAAACTATTTGTGCAAATAACTAACTACTTATAATATAAAAGACAACTAGCACTGAAGGTATAAATGTATTGATAATGTATCTGTGCTCAGTGAATCTGAAAATAAGTCATTCATAACATTATTGTCATTTTTTGTTTTCCTCTCCAGCTATTAGGACTTGAATAAAATGAGTATCACATTACTTACAATATAATGCACATGAAAAATACATCTAGATTCAAATCACTGAGCCACAATCGACTGATCAGAAATGATTTCATATCGTCTCTTAAAACTAATACAGAAGAATTAAAACGAAAATCAACTGTTGGCCACTTTGTGATGCAAGTACAGTAGTAGCATATTCAACTGTACAGCTGCTGTAACTTTTTTAAAATTATTTCTCTAAATGCATGGTGTATATCTGGATTCTTAACAATGGCTGACAAATGCTAAGCGACAACTAATTAGCAGGCTAGCCGTGATAGCAAGAGCTTGTTAAGTTAACACTGGCTTATTGCGTTATGCTGATATACATCTACGTATGTCTACAACCAAAATACTGCACTTATTCAACTCTGACGTTACTGCATTGCTATTTATTGATCATACATAAATTAAAGTCAGAAACGCAATCTTAAATGGTTGCATTTACTTACATTTTTACACCTACTCTTACTCGCGACAGTGGTAGTCACACAGATATGACGTAAAGTTGTAGCATGGTGTAAACCAATCACAACAGTTTGCGCACAACGGCGGAGACATGAGACAGTCGATAACATTTTTTCCCTCATAAAATACTGTCAGGGTGTTTTGTTTTTCTATTGTCGCTGTTCATGTAGTACTTGTTACCTTTCCTCAGAAGCTTAGTGGTAATAGAACGCAGAAACACTGCTATAGTATTACTGTCCGGAGGTTTACATTGACTGGGGACTGCTATTTGATGCATTTGTGGCTGCTTCAGTGCAGCAAAGCACGCATGTGATAGTCAGCAAATTACCTGACAGGTTAAACTGAGGGCTAAATCAAAATAATCACATTTAAATGGTTTCACCTGTAATAGGTCTGTTTCCTTTAGTTCCAAACCGGGAATGTGACTAAAGATAACTGCAGCACTTTTACAGAGTAGGCTACTGAAGGACTGACGGGGAATGGCACACGTTTGCTTTTCCTGTACAGCAGCCAGGCAGATGAACTCATCAGGTGATACTGAGCCAAAGGAAGCCAGCAGACCCGCAGGCAGTAGCAGGATCCTTGCTTTAACTATATGCAGTGCTGCTATCGGAGGTACGTTCCAGTACGGCTACAACATCTCAATCATCAATGCTCCTGCCATCTACATCCAGAGCTTCATTAATGATACCTACATGGAGCGCTGGGGCACTAGCTTGAACACCTCACAGGTGACTCTGCTGTGGACTATAATTGTGTCAGCCTTCTCACTGGGGGGGTTGCTTGGTGCTCTGTTAGCAGGGCCCATGGCAGTTCACTGTGGGAGGAAGAAATCACTGCTTTTGAACAATTCCTTCCTTTTTGTTGCTACTCTGCTTGTGCTACCGTGCAGGATGGCAAAATCATTTGAAATGATCATCCTTGCACGATTTCTGGTGGGGATGAACTCTGGTATAAGTATGAGTGTTCAGCCTATGTACTTTGGGGAAAGCGCCCCCAAACACCTCAGAGGTGCCGTGGCTTTCTCCTCTGCTGTTTTCACAGCATTTGGGATTTTTTTGGGTCAGGTTGTGGGACTCACAGAGCTCCTGGGCACAGAGCCTTACTGGCCCTACTTACTAGCTAGTAATGCTTTGCCGGGGTTGATCCAGCTGCTTACCCTACCCTGGTTCCCTGAAAGTCCCAGATACCTGCTCATTGACCGGGGAGACAAGAAGGCATGTGTTCGAGCGCTTCAGAGACTCCGTGGCGGAGAGGCTCCTGTCTTGGAGATGGAGGAGATTATTCAGGAACAGCAGCAGCAACAGTCGGTGGCTTTAAATTCTCAATCTGCAGCTTCTTCCAAGACTCCCTGGTCCCTGTTTAGGGATCATGACCTGCGATCCCAGCTCAGAACAGTCATGGTTGCCAGTAGTGCCATGATGCTCTGTGGAAATGATGCCATCTACTTCTATGCTTCCTATATCTTTCTCGAAGCAGGGATCCCTGCAGATAAAATCCAGTACGTCACCATTGGCACAGGGGCATCTGAGCTAACTGCTGCTATACTAAGTAATCTCTTAATTGAACGTGCTGGCCGCAGGTACCTTATTGTTGGAGGGTACAGTCTTATGTCATGCTGGACAATAGTGTTCACTTTAGCTCTTATCCTGCAGAGCTGGGGGGTGGCAGGAAAGCCCTACCTGAGCATAGCAT